TGTAAAATAAACTGACGTCCAAAAGAAACTTTACCAGAGTTTGAAATCACTCTTGCTCAAAAACAACAAAACATACATGCATGAAGTAAAGTGTATTGAGAAGATCAATATATCAACATAATCAACACTGAAAATGACAATCATACCGCGACGGAGAATGACGTCAGAGCCCCCCAAAGTTGGGTGGGGTGCAAAACTCGAGCTTTCAGAATCATGGACAATAGGCAGAGTTCATAAACAATCGCTCACGTTCAATAACAAGTCATTAGTAGCGTGTGTGACAACCAAATGCCTCAATGCACGCAAAAACTCTTCGACGCACAGAAAAAGTCAGTCGTCTGATGAGGTCACGTGGGATTTAACGCCATTCTTCTTGGAGGGCCAAGATCAGTTCTTGCCGGTTGGCTGGAGAGTGTGGTCGTTGTCGAACACGACGATCCATCAAGTCCCAGAGGTGTTCTTTGGGGGACATGTCGGGTGAGCGTGCAGGCCACGGCAGGACGTTGACGTTGTTGGCTGCGAGGAAGTTAGTGACAATTCTGGCTGTATGGGCTCTAGCGTTGTCATGCTGATAAATGACACCACGTGGCTGCTGTTGGAGAAATGGTAGGACAACTGAACGAAGAATGTTATCCATGTAACGCTGATCTGTCAAGTGTCCGTCAACGATGACCAGCGGTGTCCTCTCCTGCCAACAGAACCCTCCCCACACCATGACACTCCCTCCACCATATGGTACGACCTCCTGCACGCAACACGCCGCCCTTCGTTCACCCCTTCGGCGGTAAACACGTTGTCTTCCATCAGCCCTAAACATACAGAATCGACTTTCGTCAGTGAAGACAACCCATTGCCATTCACGTCGTTGCCAACATCGGGCCCATCCGGGCCCATCTCAATCGCAGACGACGATGTTGCGCTGTCAATAGCTGTCCTCTGAATGGTCTAAAAGCGCTGATTCCATGAGCCCTGAGTCTCCTGGCCACTGTCTGTCGACTAACCCTGTGACCTAAGGCATTTGTCGCCGCTGACGTCACTGTCAGGAAGCGATTTCGGAGTACCGGTCATCATGGGGCGTGGTCACCCTGGGTCTGCCTGTTCTTGGCCTGTCAGCGGTCCGCCCTGTCTGTCTGTAACGTTGCATCAAGTTGGTAACGGCAACACGGGAGCAACCGAAGGTTCGTGCAATATGGGCGTGGGTGGCTCCCATCTGTACCATACCCAAGGGTCGTTCACGTTGTTCGACTTTGAGTCGTGGCATTTCTTTTGTGTTTTTTTTTATCACTGTGGATGTCTGACTTGCCGTTGCAATCGTTTTATACCCTTACCCGCACGTGCATTTGCAGTTGTCCGTGGTGCACGTGTTTTTCACCCTTTCGCGTGTTATCTCGCAAACATGTAACAGACGATTAACATTTTCTGCATACACTATTGTTGTATTTAGGTTATGTGGTTTAGATAGACTTCATCGAAAAAGAAATTGAACTTTGTCTGAAATTTATATTTTCAGTTGGGAAAGTTTCTTTTGGACGTCAGTTTATTTTGTGATGAGACAAAGTCCTCAGAAGGGTTTGGTAGTATCGAAAATATGTGAACTAGTTTTGACAATGCTAAAGTTTTTTTATGGCTGAAATTTATCCAACCTAAACACACTAAGATGGAGTGTGTTGAAGAAGTAAAACGTTCTTCCCACAAAAACAGCCACCACTGCTTCAGAATGGATTCACGTCGCAACGAGCAATCGTCTCGTTTTTCTTACCCGTGTGGCACGCGTGTCCCTGGCACAGATTTTGACGTTGACAAATGAAGGCCCCGTCTAATAGTACAATGACCACCCCAGCCCTGGTCTGCCGGACCACGTTGGTGTGAATGGTGGTCATGATATCATACCACGGCCACCAAGGAATGTGGGACAGTGGTAAGTATGTAGACTCGGTGTTCTTGGCATGGTTAGAAGGTCATGTAATGCTATCTAATCTTTTCGGATACCTGGTGAGGTCTGAGACAAACATACCATTGAGAACACTGTTTCAAACTTGACCCGCTGCCAAGGGAGATAAACCTTGTAACAAATATCTCATTTGTAATCTGTTATGTCTTGTCATTGTGGTTTATTTGCAAACACAGTTCCTTTCTTATGGCCTCAATCATAGACCAACTTCGTGGCCTGCCCGGATAGTGGAAGGTCGGAGGATTGATCCCCGTCCGCGTCATACTGAAATACGTTTAAAGTTGGTACTTGTTGTTACCCTGCCTGGCATTATAGGGATTATACAAGGAGTGGTCGGCTCAGAGTCAGTATATTGTGTCTGGACGCGATATCCATGTGTGAACACACGCACGCACGCACGCACGCACGCACGCACGCACGCACACACACACACCCTGAACGCAACGTGAAACCCCATTTCACCTCGCATCCTATTTGAAAGGGTGAACTCCAGTACCTTTTACTTGAGTGCCCGAGTAACCTTTCCGTCCTGAATATACACGTAACATTACACATAAAAGTACGACGCCAATATCATGTTGTGTCTCTGTCTACTCTCGTATGTAGGTCTGTGTGAAATATCCGCGTTGAGAACGGACGACTTGTCGACCTCGTCATGAAATGACCAAGTTGCCACGTGAAACCGGTGTCAACACAATCATTGAAACATCACGTGAAACCTACACGTGCCTAATGTTATATGGCAGTGTAATTTATTGTCAAACAACGATTGTAACTGTATATGGCATGCTATCTCTTCATTGCCTTGCGTTTAGACAATCATTAGTCGTCAGGAATGTACTTGTATTTACTGTAAGTAGTGGTGAGGAAGTTATTATATTTAGATACTCGAATTATGTGTAAACTTCGAGAATAGCATGGATGGATGTCAAGCGTTATAGAAACGCGTGGAATATTCTGTGATGTTCTATAGTGACATTTGACTAGTCAAGTACAATGTGGAAAGTGCTGAAAGCTAGTCAGAGTGGAGAGGGTGTATGCCTGTCTCATCTCACATTTCATCTGACATTACATCAAGACCAGATTTTGTGTGAAGATCACATTTCACCCTGGATTCCTAGCCTAGGCCCATCTTCGGCGAGGTTATTATTAATATGGTCATTGTCATTTCCACTGCTGTCACATTTTATACTGCCATTGAATATTGTACTCCACTCTATTGTAATTGTTGTGCAGTAATTTATATTGATTTGTAAACCTAGTTCATTTTGTAATACAATTGTTGATTGTATACCATTTGCTTGTTGGTTGCTGGTTTCACACTAAGTTACTTTACGTACAGATTTCAGGGTTAACATGTTGTTTCAATTTCTGGGAATCGACACGTAACACAAGGTTCTGCCAAATCCAAAGTTGTTTTAATACCTGAAACCAGGGGTCAATGTCCCTCGATATTACTCGCGCCCTCTTGCCCAGGATTGCACTGGACATTGAACTATACTGTTTTGTACTTTATGTCACCGATGGCAACCTCCTTGCTTTCTCTCAAGACCTACACCAGCTGGTGCACGTAACAAACACGAAAAACGAATATATTTCTTTACAAAACCATACAAAAAAAACAATATATATGTCAATTTACCATTAGTACAAAGTACACAGTACCTGAGAACATATACGAAAATAACTGTAAACATGGGAAAATATAATTCATACTCTGTTTGTGAGCACTATATGTGTGATCATATGAGGACGACAGTGTAATAAAAAAGAAGAAATATTCTGCATTCCCTTTATTCGTAGCATAGTTGAAATATTGGTCCAATCCTCGCTACATCCTTCTACTTTCCTAATGTTTAAAGCAGCATTACAATTAGGTACGAAATCTTAGCTATGTACTGCTCTGCTTTTACTATCCATCATCGGGGCGGTCGGGTAGCCTAGTGGTTAAAGCGTTCGCTCGTCACGCCGAAGACCCGGGTTCGATTCCCGACATGGGTACAATGTGTGAAGCCCATTTCTGGTGTCCCCCGCCGTGATATTGCTGGAATATTGCTAAAAGCGGCGTAAAACCATACTCACTCACTCACTCACTATCCATCATCTACGGTTCGCTGTATATAATTATCCACCTGTGGATGTCGTATTGTACTAGCATGGCTACATAGTTACGATTTTGCAGCCACATTGCAATGAGGTTACACTGAAGTTTACAGTGCATGGCGTCACAATGACAATGGGTGACTTAATGAGTTAACTCTCCTTATTGGTTCCTCAAAACAACAAGACTCGGTTCATAACCTGCATGGTGTACCACAAAGTGTATCGTTATAGTCACACATTATAAAACAACAGCGTTAAACATTAGAACATTCGAGGACTTGGAATACAGTCGATGGAAGCAAACATGGCCTCTGATTCAGATGTTCACCAGGTTGCAGACACTGTGCTGTGATGACAGGGTGCCTCTTTGCAGCTATACCGACAGAACGTCAATATCAAAGTCAAATATTGGTAATTGTGAATCAAACGGTAATGCAGATGAACTTAAAGCGAAAACCCCTTTCAATGATCATAAGAAATCTCTGCTAAAAGTTAAAAGCAGATTCCATTTACGATTCCGACTATATCACGAGCATGTGGATGAGGATGTGTTTATCAGTCACTATCACCGTAGCCTCGGTCTTAGCACTACGACAGTCTTGTCTCCGATTCCTACAATAGCCTTCAGCGCTAAGATGGCTACCGTATTTCCTCTATTAGACGCCCTGGCTTCTATTTATTTCGGACAAGCCTTTGACCCGGCGTCAATTAGAGGCCCTGCGTCTATTGGAGGCCCGGCTTCTATTAATACCCCCATTTCACTATGACCACGAATTTAGGTCCCAAAAAGGGATTAATAATTGTATCAATTGATCGACCCGGCGTCTATTAGAGGCCCGGCTTCTTTTTTTTCACTGAACAATTGACCCGGCTTCTATTAGAGGCCGGCGTCTATTAGAGGCATGTTGATATGTTGATTCGAGTCATGATCATAAAGTAAACTAACCTTGTGCCGTTGTGGGTAGATTCTGGGTGTTGGAGGTGGTGTTGGGGGTGTTGGAGATGGTGGTGGGCATGGTGGTGGTCGTTCCCGGCAAGTTGAAGGTAAACAGGAGAAAGTGGATCAGTAGTGGACACATCTCGTAGAAGTCGGGGATGGTGAGGGAGTTGTTGGCCGTCCCTAACATCATATGTAGCAGGTTCGTTGCGTTCCACACCTTTAACATATCACTCACCATGTTCACATGGCGCCAAGCTTTATTCATATCAGGTACATATATATCGTTGATATGCTACAAGGACGTGGGAGGGTATGTCTGACCTCCCAAGGAAATCGAAGCTTGTATTATGTTAAAATCCGTAATGCACGTCACATTTCTAAAGCATTCGTGACCAACTCGTGTTATTCCGGGACAAGCCGAATAGCAACTCGTGCCACGCTCATGACCATTTTTGCGACCAGGTTCCGCCTTAGCGCAAACGGGCATACCTAAAACAACTGTCAACTCGTTGCGTAATGGTTCATTTACGTTTCCGCATATATTATTTATATTTCAGATGCAATTTAAAGCAATTTTGGTATATTTTTAGATGTAAGACATATGTAAAATCAAAAAATATTTCTGAGGGATTATTTGACGAAGAACTTGAAATCATACGCGCATTCTGATTGGTTTGTCGTATTTTCGCGCATGACATTCATCGATAGGGGGACGAGTCTTCTTGCAGGTTACGGAAAGGGACGAGTGTTGACGAATGATTTCTAAAGAGGATCATGTCCCTGGTCAGACCAGGTTCCCGGCAACCAGTTCTTGTTCGGTGACTTGGCTGTTTGTTTTCAGGTTTGTTTGTTATTACCGCACTCAGCAATATTCCAACTATATGACGGCGGTCTGTAAATAATCGAGTCTGGACAAGACAATCCAGTTATTGACATCATGAGCGTCGATCCACGCAATTTGGATACGATGACATGCATCAACCAAGTCAGCCAGCCTGACCACCCGATCCTCTTACGATAATTGTGGGTTGCTGAAGACCTATTCTACCCCGGCTGTTTGGGTGTCATCGTACGGTGTTGGCATGGATCGTCGATGTAAATACTAGCGGTGGTAGATAACGTTGTAAACATAGTTTTACTTATAGTCAGTGGCAGCAAATGATTCAAGTTACTAGTAAGAAATAGCAAGTGTTGTCGTGGCCAGATTGAACAGCGGTCGGCTAAGTCGAGTGGAGCTTTCCAAAAAGGTTTTGTATTATAATGTAATTAGAGGTATCTGCCCTTGTTGTATACTATACATGAACATGGCAGGCTCGTCTGTTCTTGAACGTTTTGGATAAGACAGTTCTATAACGTTGGATACCAATATAAGAGCAAGATTCGAGATTCAAGATTCAAGGCCTTTTCGACCTTTTCGGTAAAAGATTGAAATGCTACCAGCTTCAACACTATTCTCGATTAAAGAACGAAGACAAGCCTCTTTCAACCAACAGTGACAATAGTCTAAACAATAGTGAGTGCACAACAATAATCCTAGAGTCTGCAACTTATCACTGAGGGTCATTTATTTGATCCAATGTATTGCCAACCTAAAACTGTGTGTCAGTATATATTTTATTGATTAGTCATTGATCTTGTGTGGACAATTACTGATTTACAAGTTAGTTCTATGCGAGCCGATTCCTGGGGTAATTCTCCTTTTTAATTTGAAAATCACCTCGTAACAATATCAGTCTATGTATTGTCTGGTCCAGACTCGATTATCTACAGGCTGCTATTATATAGCGGAAATATTGCTGGGTGCGCCGTAAAATAATATACAAACTGTGAGTGAGTATGGTTTTACCCCGCTTTTAGCAATATTTCAGCAATATCAAGCGGGGGACACCAGAAATGGGCTTCACATATTGTACCCATGTCGGGAATCGAACCCGGGTCTTCGGCGTGACGAGCGAACGCTTTAAACCACTAGGCTACCCGACCGCCCCTAACATACAAACAAGCAAACGTGACTTTAATTCTATACTTACATATTTGGGGGAATGATAGTTGTGAGAGAAGGGGAGGTAATGATGACTGTCTGGAGGCATATAGAACCTCTTAGACCTAGGTTTGTTCTTGTACTTGTCTTTCCCCGGACGTAGGGTATTCGTGGTACCACCAGACACATGGGCATTGCGCATAATTGTTTTTGTACCGGAACGAAGGGTTGATATCCTGATAGTAGAGGTTTCAGCAACAGGACTTGTGAAACCTTGCATGGGGTGAGTACTGCTCATCCCATGCAAATGTCCTTGACTGCCAACACGTCCAGGTCGGCGAGTAGCACTTGCGGTATGTTGAGTAAAAAGACTATACCCTGAGCCGCTGTTCTTCTTTGTTGCAGTACGACCTCCTCCAGCGGTTGCCGGAGACGTCCGTTCACGATGTCTGTGTTCCCATTGGGTAAGCGGCTGTGTATTATGCTTGGGTATCATTCCGTTAGGGCTGTGTCCAGAAGAACCGTATGGATTAAGTGCGTTGCCGTTTTCACCTGGACCATGGCCTTCTGGCCGATGATGGCTACCACCAGAATCCACAAATCCTGGTTCGGCTAAACTCGGACCCCAGGGTGGTTCCTGGCCAAGTCCATGTGGGGGTGGTGTGCCTCTGACTCGTTCCAGGTCATGTTGCAGCTCTGTTCCTCTGGGTGGTTCCTGGCCAGGTCCACGTGGGGGTGGTGTGCCTCTGACTTGTTCCAGGTCATGTTGCAGCTCTGTTCCTCTGGGTGGTTCCTGGCCAGGTCCACGTGGGGGTGGTGTGCCTCTGACTTGTTCCAGGTCATGTTGCAGCTCTGTCCCTCTGGGTGGTTCCTGGCCAGGTCCATGTGGGGGTGGTGTGCCTCTGACTTGTTCCAGGTCATGTTGCAGCTCTGTTCCTCTGGGTGGTTCCTGGCCAGGTCCATATGGGGGTGGTGTGCCTCTGACTTGTTCCAGGTCATGTTGCAGCTCTGTTCTTCTGGGTGGTTCCTGGCCAGGTCCACGTGGGGGTGGTGTGCCTCTGACTTGTTCCAGGTCATGTTGCAGCTCTGTTCCTCTGGGTGGTTCCTGGCCAGGTCCATGTGGGGGTGGTGTGCCTCTGACTTGTTCCAGGTCATGTTGCAGCTCTGTTCCTCTGGGTGGTTCCTGGCCAGGTCCATATGGGGGTGGTGTGCCTCCGACTTGTTCCAGGTCATGTTGGAGCGGTGTTCTTCTGGGTGGTTCCTGGACAGGTCTGTGTGGGCGTCCTGGGTCTACCAAGGAGCATGGCACGGGGTACATCAGACTGGGGTCAGAGTGGCCGAAGGTCCTTGTGTCTAGGACTGCGGCGTGGTGCGGATGGAACTTCTGAGTGTGGTGGGGAGCAGTCGAATGGGTGAGAGGCGGGTAGGGGTTACTCAGATTTTGGAGAACCGAGTTCAGGCCTGCAAATATATTAAAGTAAGCAATTATGCTTGATTTGTCTGGCAAAATACATTGGGAATTCAGTGCATCAAACTGCCATTTGCATTCTCGAAGTTGGTGAGTAAATAAGAAATAGTACAACTTTCTTGATAACAATTTCTGGTTTATCGCAGAAATAATTTCTAATCAACAGAGATCAAAGGAATCATGACTATGCTTGCCGGGGTCGGGTGGTCAGGCTTGCTGACTTGGTTGATAGATGTCGTTAATCCCAATTGCATGGATCGATGCTCATGATGTCAATCACTGGGTTGTCTGGTCCAGACTCGATTATTTACAGCCCAGCGTCAAATAGCTGTAATATTGCTGAGTGCGGCGTTAAACAACAAACAAACATCTCGTCTGCCTTTGACGATCTAATCGAGCAATATACCTTTCTTTATTAGCATCCAATCAGCTTGTCACAACTTTTCCTTATCCTTACTGTACATCGGGCTTCAGCCAATCTTCTCTGTGCTACTTGTTATCAATTACCTCTTGTTGTTAATGTTAATCTGCTTCTATCACAACATATCAGGCATATATACCGCTCTTCACTCAGTTGTGGTCACTCTAGCTCGTAAGAATCTTCATCTAAAGGTCGCTGTATGCAATAAACCAGAGTTGTTATCAACAAAGTTGTACGATTTCTCATAAAACTGTCAGTTTGGTGTGTCGGTCCGTTGTAAACGTGAATCATTTTACACTTCCTCCTGCGTTCATGCCTTCCCGAGGCAAGGGAGGGCAAGTTCCTGTTAAAATCCAGTTTGCACCCTTCCCGAAATCGGCTGGAATTCGTGACTCGCTCACAGCACCATCAGTGGTTATAACAAATTATGTCCCTTCTATGTCCCTCCTGTTGACAAAATCAGATTCCACCTCTCATATCCCTTATTTTTGCTTCAAACAAAATGGCGGAGCGCAGTCAAGACGATCTAATCGATAATCTCTGTAAGGTCTATCTTGTAATAAAACGGTTCTTACTTCGCGAAGTGCACCCTATCACTTGAGCACGTTAATGAAAAACATGAAAAGATTTGGAAAATATCGGTCTACGTCCAGTTAGAGGTACACGTGCTTTGCGAAACATGCAATCGACCCCGCACGCAACAGGATCTCGATTTCGTTATGCGAGTTTTGATTGGACCATGCATGGACTCATTAGGCCAGTTAACTGCCTAATTCAGCAAGGGTGGAAACTGGACTTTTATAGTCAGTTAACTCCCTTGCCTCGGGAATATGACATTCCTGACACACCATAAAGTAAATGAACTAAAATCCACATCACTCACTACATCATTTTTAGTAGTTCATATATTCAGATATCTAAATTATGGGGGCGGTCGGGTAGCCTAGTGGTTAAAGCGTTGGCTCGTCACGCCGAAGACCCGGGTTCGATTCCCGACATAGGTACAATGTGTTAAGCCCATTTCTGGTGTCCCCCGCCGTGATATTGCTGGAATATTGCTAAAAGCGGCGTAAAACCATACTCACTCACTCACTCACTCATGAGAAACGTAAGCTAGCTGCAGTGCTTGGCACGTGTCATTACCGTCTTTTCCCATGTGCCACGAGTAGGACTGCTGTGCTGACGAGTCCCCGAATACTCTGAAGATGTCTTCAGTGTACTGGATGTCACACCTCTGCCTAGGGTCCGTCAGTATGCGATGTCCTGGGGCACACACCAGCGAAGAGTTAGGCCACCCATTATGCAAATTTCTTTGTTTACGGATTTGTATGCGAAAATCGTGACATGAAAAAACATTTTTGATTTAACTTTTGCGTTTCAAAAGTTGTCAGCAGCACCAGTGTCATTATACTTTTCTCGTTGGTGTTTCAGCTTAACAGACTGCATGCACACTGTTTGTGGATCCGTGAAGATCCGGGGTAGAATAGGTCTTCAGCAACCCATGCTTGCTGTTAAAGGCGACTATGCTTGTCGTAAGAGGCGACTAACGAGATCGGGTGGTCAGGCTTGCTGACTTGGTTGATGCATGTCATCGCTTCCCACTTGCGTGGATCGATGCTCATGATGTCAATCACTTGATTGTCTGGTCCAGACTCTATTATTCATAGACCGCCGCAATATAGCTGGAATATTGCTGAGTGCGGCGCTAAACAATAATCGAACAAACAAATAACAGTGGTCTGCGTGAACACTGTAGACGTATGTAGACCATGAACCACTGTAGATGTATGTAGACCATGAACCACTGTAGATGTATGTAGACCATGAATCACTGAAGATGTATGTAGACCATGAACCACTGTAGACGTATGTAGACCATGAACCACTGTAGATGCATTTAGACCATGAACCACTGTAGATGTATGTAGACCATGAACCACTGTAGATGTATGTAGACCATGAACCACTGTAGATGTATTTAGACCATGGCCACTGTAGATGTATGTAGACCATGAACCACTGTAGATGTATGTAGACCATGAACCACTGTAGATGTATGTAGACCATGAACCACTGTAGATGTATGTAGACCATGAACCACTGTAGACGTATGTAGACCATGAACCACTGTAGTTGTATGTAGACCATTAACCACTGTAGATGTATGTAGACCACGTACCACTGTAGATGTATGTAGACCATGAACCACTGTAGATGTATGTAGACCATGAACCACTGTAGATGTATGTAGACCATGAACCACTGTAGTTGTATGTAGACCATGAACCACTGTAGATGTATGTAGACCATGAACCACTGTAGATGTATGTAGACCATGAACCACTGTAGATGTATGTAGACCATGAACCACTGTAGATGTATGTAGACCATGAACCACTGTAGACGTATGTAGACCATGAACCACTGTAGTTGTATGTAGACCATTAACCACTGTAGATGTATGTAGACCATGAACCACTGTAGATGTATGTAGACCATGAACCACTGTAGATGTATGTAGACCATGAACCACTGTAGATGTATGTAGACCATGAACCACTGTAGATGTATGTAGACCATGAACCACTGTAGGCGTATGTAGACCATGAACCACTGTAGATGTATGTAGACCATGAACCACTGTAGATGTATGTAGACCATGAACCACTGTAGATGTATGTAGACCATGAACCACTGTAGATGTATGTAGACCATGAACCACTGTAGACGTATGTAGACCATGAACCACTGTAGTTGTATGTAGACCATGAACCACTGTAGATGTATGTAGACCATGAACCACTGTAGATGTATGTAGACCATGAACCACTGTAGATGTATGTAGACCATGAACCACTGTAGATGTATGTAGACCATGAACCACTGTAGACGTATGTAGACCATGAACCACTGTAGTTGTATGTAGACCATGAACCACTGTAGATGTATGTAGACCATGAATCACTGTAGACGTATGTAGACCATGAACCACTGTAGATGTATGTAGACCATGAACCACTGTAGATGTATGTAGACCATGAACCACTGTAGACGTATGTAGACCATGAACCACTGTAGTTGTATGTAGACCATGAACCACTGAAGATGTATGTAGACCATGAACCACTGTAGACGTATGTAGACCATGAACCACTGTAGACGTATGTAGACCATGAACCACTGTAGATGTATGTAGACCATGAACCACTGTAGATGTATGTAGACCATGAACCACTGTAGGCGTATGTAGACCATGAACCACTGTAGGCGTATGTAGACCATGAACCACTGTAGATATATGTAGACCATGAACCACTGTAGATGTATGTAGACCATGAACCACTGTAGATGTATGTAGACCATGAACCACTGTAGACGTATGTAGACCATGAACCACTGTAGATGTATGTAGACCATGAACCACTGTAGATGTATGTAGACCATGAACCACTGTAGATGTATGTAGACCATGAACCACTGTAGATGTATGTAGACCATGAACCACTGTAGATGTATGTAGACCATGAACCACTGTAGATGTATGTAGACCATGAACCACTGTAGACGTATGTAGACCATGAACCACTGTAGATGTATGTAGACCATGATCAGCTGTAGACGTATGTAGACCATGAGACCATGTGCAGAGTTGCGTCCCTTGGGCACGCCAGAAACCTATGATTGTGGGTTCGAATCCCGGTTCGCCCTGATTATGTTTCTAGGTTTGTCAGCACCATACCCGTGCTCGTGGGTTTCACCGAAGTGGTAAACGTCTGAGACCTGCATCACTTCGGGCTTTCCTCCCACATTAAGCTGACACGCCGTGATATGCATGGGATACTGTTAAAAAACGGCGTTAAACCCAACTCACTCACTCACTCCAATACCCTCAACTGTGGAATATAAAATTTGAAGCTAAGGTACATATGTCATTGTGCCAGAATGTGTTGTTTTCGGGAGTCGACCTACCTTGAATGAGATGTGTGATTATGTTCCTATAGCAAGGACACATATCCATAGATTCCCATTGGTTGCTAGGGCTGGCAAATTGGGTGCACTGCAACGTACAGGACAATGTTAACATAGCAAAGAAGAAGGAAAGAAGGGATTTCCTACCATATATTTACTTTTGGTTGTTCCTGTGCAATTTTCATAAAAATGAAATCATTAACTTAAAAGGATTCTTTTTTCCTTTGTCACTTCAAGTTAGTGAGTATAAGAATTTACCAAGAATTTGAGCACACAAATGGTTTACAGTTAATGGGGCACTAGACTCGGGCAAACGTTTAAGTCGTTCTAACACCACTTTCTTCATCTGCCAACTCCTATTATATTACATACCGTATTCGACGTAATAAGCGCCCAGGGCGCTCTCAAAATTAGAAATGGGGGGCTTTTAATAGAATGTTATTTTGGTGAAAAAAAAACAGCCTTGAAAGATAATTTTTTGTGGTTTATGCTGACAGCCTGAAATGTTTATATACGACAGATATATTTTTTCCAGAATTTAATTGCGTATTATACGCGAATAAATAAGTCTTTTGTACATTGATCAATCGGAAGGGGTGCTAATTGGGATTGTTCACAAACAAAGATATTAGTAAATATCGCCGTGGGCGCTTATTAGAGCAGGGCCATTATTACGTCGACTATGGTATATCAATCAACCTGTTCATTGCCCTGATTACATAGACGCAATCTGTCAGAATCGAACACGACACTTGCTACAGGCCCAACCCTAGACTGATAGCGATCAACAGCCTAGATATTCGTTAAAGGGAGCCTCTGCTCCACAGTCTGGTACAGTCTAGGTCTAGGTCTGGTCTAGGTCTAGAACTCCAGCCTAGGTGTAGAAAATGGTTATGGATGACTTGAAACAAACTGGCTTGGGCTGCCAAATAATAATAAAATCTGGAGTTCAGAGCTGAACGCTCGCAATAAAGTCAAAGCCACAAATATTTATGCCGTCCCCGTCCTTTCGTATTCTTTTGGTGTTGTTCATTTGACGAAACAAGAAATTCAAAGTATTGACCTACTCACACGAAGAACCATGTGAGACAATAGATCAAACCAACCTTCTCTCAATAGCTATTATTTACCAATTATAAAGGGGGGGGGGGGGGGGGGGGTGCGTGGTTTGCTTAAAGTGGAGGCTCTTTATGATCGAATTGTATTGTGCACTTTTGCACACATTTATTTGTCCGATGATCCTCGTGAGAAGTATGACAAGACTCATGGTGAAAACAAGGCATTCCCATCTCAATGTCAATGTTGATTTTGTTGACGGTTCTGTAGTGCTGGGCGGTACAGAATGAGTAACAGCCAAGCGAAGTGCCATATCAAATTGGCCTAGACTTAGTTTTTCAGGGAGAGGCTATATGAACGACCACTGTATTGAGTTCATGAGCAGTGTGTTGAGATAAACAGCAACCCTGTAGAGTTCCTCGCTTGGATGAAGTCGGCTGGCCTGAAAAGTGAAACAGAAGGCTTTCCGCTGCTACTCAAGACCAGTCACTTCCCACTCGAAACCGTCAATGTGTGATTTTGCATCAAAATGTTAATATGAAATGTAGATTATGCAATGAATTTGATGCGTCTGCCCAACACATTGTCATGGGATGCCCAGCTCTGGCACAAACACAGTATCTTATGCGACATGATGAAGTGGCTCGATCCTTTTATTACCGTCTTCGCCATGCTTGTGGTTTTGTCACAGGGGTCCATCCATGGTACGACCAAGGTGATGTAGAGGGCGTAATGGATAATGATAAATACAAAATTCTTTGGAATAGGCCCTTATACAGCCTCAGACGTATCCAGACGTACAAACTGGATCCTGCCCTTTTTGATAAATCCAATGAAATCATGGAAATTACGCGGACCTCGCTTTCGAAATGTCACGCTTGCATCCCAAATACCAAGTTGTCTGACTCCCTATTGTTCTCGGTGCCTTAGGTTTGGTACCTCCCAATCTGTTGACTGACATCGGGAGAGTACCCGGGTTTGCTACCAGGAATACAGCCCTTCTGACAATCTGTGTAATGCAGAAGGCTGCAGTGTTTTGGGAGTCTCCACATTTTCTGTAAAGTTCTCAGATGGTTTGACTAGGCAGCGCTTCCTGGGAGAAGTACCATTCGCTGTCTGGGCTGCGTGTAGAGGGGGCAAGGGCCCTAAGCTGTTGGTGAGCCTAACAACCCTGACTGTGCCAGGATCAACCAAACCCTATCTGCTGCATTTATTTATTTTAATCTGTACACGATCACCCATCAATCTACTCTCCGTTACCAACGGTGCTTAAAGAGGGGCAAGGCTCGACTTATTGGCAGTCTTTGCTGGTTCAAATTCATTATTTCATTATGTATATTAATTTGGCAGTAACCGATATCCCTAAGTAAACAGAAAAACGTCCACGTTTCACAAATGGAATTTATTGCAATGTCTATACCAAGGAAGAAATTTGGCACCAGAGTCTCCCTTTAATATCGCCTGATTTGTGACGGATGTGCACTACACAGAACACAGGGTCAAGTGTCACCACCAGCCGGACCTAGCATAGGAGCTAATTTCCCTCAATGTTAATATCAGTTAACCATGTGTCGGTTCTATGTATGTATGTACGTATATATTCAGGGTAAGGTACAATCAGATAAGGAAGTTATTAAACTAACTAGAACTTACAAGCCCTGTGGTCATTGGTTGATAAGCACCTACCTTCCGCCTCATGGAGAACGCAACATTCGCCGGACATCCATTCCATATACGGTGGCGGATCAGTTCCGGTCTCCACAAAGAGGCCACCTTGTACATGAGGTATGGCATTGGTAGTTCACAGTCGTGTGGTGGGCCGGGCTGAGGTGGCAGGTGAAAACATGGGATAGTTTCTATTTGTAAGGAAAACACCACAAGCCGTTTCATCAGATCGGGGTCGGGGCACACCGTCGAGTTTCGGGACAGAATGTCGTTCTGTATCTGTGCAAAAGAAAAACAAACTAAGTCTGAATTGGGCCAGTGTCTTGGCCCAGCCGAACCGATGTCGGTAAAATAGTTCCTTAATGGGTATTAAATACCATTGTTGTTGGGGACCGACCATTTCATATTTTCTTCTGCTACATCTACAAAACCAGATATGTAATTAAATCCATGAGCCTAATTAAACAAAAGTAAAAACATCTGGCAACAATGTATATTTTGTGCCGACATTTTCTTTTTTTTCAACAGTCTGAAGCATAATTATTTTTCAAGCCACATATCAGAAAATCAAATGGTCGGTCCCTTACTTCTGATCCGTCATACAAATATCCTCAAACTAAAATAACTTTTCGTTAGGTTTGGTAGCGGATATTGCATTGCACTGCACTGATTACACACAACGTTGCGTTTCAGTAAAAAGCGGGGGGGGGCTCGATAGTAGCGCGACCAGTGGATATTACGAGATATGTTCCGCCTACTGACCAATCAGATTCCACCTCTCACATCACTTGCATTTGCTTAAAAAAAAATGGTGGCGGCCTGTCCATTCGTGACCAACTCGTGTTATTCCGGGACAAGCCGAATAGCGACTCATGCCCCGCTCATGACCATTTTTGCGACCGGGTTCCGTCTAAGCGCAAACGGGCATACCTAAAACAACTGTCAACTCGTTGCGTAATGGTTCAATTACATTTCCCCATATATTATAGATATTTCAGATGCAATTTAAAGCACATCGGGACATGCGGAATTATACAGTATGATTGAACACATTTAAGTGTGTCTTTGGTATATTTTTAGATGTAAGACATATGTAAAACAAAAAAATATTTCTGAGGGATTATTTGTCAAAGAACTTGAAATCATACGCGCATTCTGATTGTTTTTTTCGTATTTTCGCACATAACATTCATCGATAGGGGGAAGAGTCTTCTTGCAGGTTACGGAAAGGGACGAGTGTTGACGAATGGAATGCGTCCAGTCAAGGCGATCTGATCGATAATCATGATCTATTTTGTAATAAAACGCGTACGGGTCTTACCTCGTGAAATGCATCAAATCACTTGAGCACCCTCATTAAAAAGATGAAAAGATTTGGAAAATACCTGTCGACGCCCAGTTGGCGGTACACATGTTCTGCAAATCCTGCAGTCGACCGAAATCGTCACGGCAGTCGCCATGCTGTTGTTGTCCGCAACGAACTGGATGTCTATATTCGCTACTCGATTTTGATTGGACCTACTCTCCTACCCAGAGTACCTTGCGGACAGCAACGTACCTCTGGTACAGGCCAGCCCCATGTGGCGATTCGTCACATCTTACACAGTCCTTTCAAGATATGTTTTTGATCTGTTTCATTTTTGACGAATCTACACATTTAGATTAACATATGTCATTGAATGGTTAACTTTCATAAAGAAAATGTCCCACAACATGAAGAACTATTTCCATTAGTGTAGGTATCCTGTGTTTACATTGTTTGTACGGCTCCGCCTGCTGTCATCGAAGCCCTACGAACTAGCGATAAGGCCACTTTGATGTTTAAAGAGACATCCCTCCCTCACAGGTCTCCGGTAACTTATCCTAGTCGACCTTGTGATTATATCAATCACTGGTTTGTCTGGTTCAGACTCAATTATTTACAGGCCGCTGTGATGCAGCTGGAATAGTACTGACCGTGGCGTTAAACAAAAAACAAACAAACAAACAAACAACAGCCAGCGCACCTGTTGACACGTGTAGCTGACCCCTGGACATCGTATATTCTTGATCCTCCGGTCACAGTCAAAGCCCTGAAGCACCACCTCAACTAGCACCCGCCTTTGTTCGTCGGCACTCCTGCCCTGCACCCCGAGTACCTCCCAGTGGAACTGCCCAATTTGGGGACACTCGTCACGGCTCGTGAAGTGTTGGAAGTCGCGACACTGTGATGACGTCATAGCAATGCACCCAAGAAACAGTCCAAATAAGGGCAGGTCATACATCTGAAAATTGGATTGATTATAATTGTAATTATTGATTAAATACCGGTACATATAAGGAATCGTTGTCCAGGTGAGTGAATGACTTGGTTTTAACGCCGCTTTGAACATTATTTATATAACGGCGTGTCAGCTTAATGTGGGAGGAAAGCCCGAAGTGATGCAGGTCTCAGACGTTTACCACTTCGGTGAAACCCACGAGCACAGGTATGGTGCTGACAAACCTAGAAACATAATCGGGGCGAACCGGGATTCTAACCAACCATTATAGGTTTCTGGCGTGCCCAAAGGACGCAACTCTGCACAGTGAAATGCAGCACCTTAGACAACTGGGCCACCCGCCAGGTTTAGTCATGCGTTGGTGAAGTACGCTTGGTTTCAGACATTAACATATATGCATTCACAAAGAGTGGCTTGGGTTAAACGCTTCTTTGAGCAGTGTTTCAGTTATATTACGTCGTGTTACCACTTTCGTGAAATCCAAAAGCAAGGATATGGTGCCGGCAAAACCTATAAACATAACCAGGGCGTAACAGGATTCGAACCAACGATCATAGGTTTCTGGCTCGTATGAGGGACGCAACTCTGCATAACAAAAAGGGGCGCCTTTGACTTGGCCATACCTGTGACCCTCATAGGGCAAGAACCATAGCTATATTGTCAACTTGTGACGCAACGAATTATTTCGTTTATCCGTTCGGTAACAATGGAGGAACGGTAGCATAGTGGTTAAAGCGTTCGCTATTGACGCCGAAGTCCATGATTCCATAATCACATGCAAACGATATGTAAAGCCCGTGTTGGGGCTGGTGTTCTCTGTCATGGAATATTGTTAAAGACGGCTTCACTCTCAGAAGGCAACATGACTACCATTGTATACTCGTTTTGCAATAACGTTTGCAAATATGACTCGATGATACATACGTGCAAAGAGCATGCTATTTACCCTATTTACTTAAGGGTGACGTTGTGTTTCATACTGAGCTTTTGTCGTTCCCTTGTAGTCATACATTAAAGGAGGACTGTGCTCTACAGTCTAACCCTTGTTCGGTCAAGGTCTCGACATGCAGGTAAGTTCTATGTGTGTAACTGAGATATTGTCTCTGGAGAGCTAGCTAGCGGGAAGAAGGTATCTACAAATATCCTTCTAATTACTTATAAAATCAAACAAGACGAATACGCCATCAAACAAAACAGTTGTCCTCGATCACATTCCTTGTCATTTCATTATCATCTTGGACTATTATATCTTCCGGTGTGCCATCGGCCTACATTTCAAATGGCCTTACTGTTTGTTTTTGAAACAATAGTTTGGAAGTCCTTCTCTCAAGTTACACCGTTTATTTACCAGAAACAAGACATGAAGAAAATGTACATCCGGATACCGTCCGGAAACCTTCCAGATACCTTCAGCAACTTTCAACCAACATTTCTTGGTATTTTCCAGATACTTTTTTATGTGTTTCACACTTAAGTGAACAAAATGCAGCCCCCAAATTTTGACATTTTTTTTGAAGGTTTCCGGAAGGTATCCGGGCCGGATCCAAAGTGGGAAGGTATCCGGAAGGTTTCCGGATGACGGACACCTACACTTTTTTTTGCTGTGTAAACACGTGGGATTTCAACTTGCAAATATTAGCGTATGGGGTTGTACACAGTTGTTCACAGCGGTGGCGGTGTTGCGCAGCTACTGTATAGAGGACGCCGATAATCAGATCCTTTACTCCAGTTTCGTCAAACGTAATGAGGTATCTCATAGGAGTTAAACATTTGATTGTATTGAGATTAGAACGCGATCATAAAATTAACAACCATTATACATGTGCTATGATCACATCAGAAGGTCAACGACCATTGTTCCTTGATCACATCAGAGGGTCAACAACCATTATACCATGATCACATCGGGAGGTCAACAACCATTATTTCATGATCACGTCAGAGGGTAAACAGCCATTATACTATGATCACATCAGAAGGTCAACGGCCATTACTTCTTGATCACATCAGAGGGTCAACGGCCATTACTTCTTGATCACATCAGAGGGTCAACGGCCATTATTTCTTGATCACATCAGAGAGTCAACGGCCGTTATACCATGATCACATCAGAGGGCCAACAACCATTATACCATGTTCACATCAAAAGGTCAACAACCATTATTTCTTGATCACATCAGGGGGTAAACGGCCACTATACTCTCATCACATCAGAAGGTCAACAACCAATATTCCATGATCACATCGGAGGTTCAACGACCATTATACCACAATCACATCAGAGCGCCAACAACCATTATACCATGATCGCATAAGAAGGTCAACAACCATTATACCATGATCACATCAGAGGGTCAACGGTCATTATTTCTTGATCACATCAGAGAGTCAACGGCCGTTATACCATGATCACATCAGAGGGTCAACAACTATAAAACCATGATCACATCAGAAGGTCAACAACCATTATTTCTTGATCACATCAGAGGGTCAACAACCATTATTTCTTGATCAGATCAGAGGGTCAACGGCCATTATACCATGATAACATCAGAGGGTCAACGGTCATTATTTCTTGATCACATCAGAGGGTCAACGGCCGTTATACCATGATCACATCAGAGGGTCAACAACCATTATTTCTTGATCACATCAGAGGGTCAACAACTATTATTTCTTGATCAGATCAGAGGGTCAACGGCCATTATACCATGATAACATTAGAGGGTCAACAACGATTATACCATCAAATCAGAGGATCAACGACCATTATACCATTATCACAGTAGAAGGTTAACAACCATTATTTCTTGATCACATCAGAAGATCAACAACCATTTTAACATGATCACATCAGAAGGTCAACAACCATTATTTCTTGATCACATCAGAGGGTCAACGGCAATTATACCATAATCACATCAGAAGGTCAACAACCGTTATTTCTTGATCACATCAGAGGGTCAACGGCCACTGTACTATGATCACATCAGAGGGTCAACAACCATTATACAATGATCACATCGGAAGGTCAACGACCATTATTATTCCATGATCACATCGGAGGGTCAACAACCATTATACCATTTTGACATCAGAGGATCAACGACCATTATGCCATTATCACATCAAAGGATCAACGACCATTATACCATGATCACATCAGGGGGTCAACGACCATTATTCCTTGATCACATCAGAAGGTCAACAACCATTATTTCTTAATCACATCAGAGGGTCAACAACCATTATACCATGATCACATCAGAGGATCATCAACCATTATTTCTTGATCACATCAAAGGGTCAACGGCCATTATACCATGATCACATCAGAGGATCATCAACCATTATTTCTTGATCACATCAAAGGGTCAACGGCCATTATACCATGATCACATCAGAAGGTCAACAACCATTATACCATGATCACATCAGAGGGTCAACGGTCATTATTTCTTGATCACATCAGAGAGTCAACGGCCGTTATACCATGATCACATCAGAGGGTCAACAACCATTATTTCTTGATCAGATCAGAGGGTCAACGGCCATTATACCATGATAACATCAGAGGGTCAACAACGATTATACCATCACATCAGAGGATCAACGACCATTATACCATTATCACAGTAGAAGGTTAACAACCATTATTTCTTGATCACATCAGAAGATCAACAACCATTATACCATGATCACATCAGAAGGTCAACGACCATTATTTCTTGATCACATCAGAGGGTCAACGGCCACTATACTATGATCACATCAGAGGGTCAACAACCATTATACCATGATCACATCGGAAGGTCAACGACCATTATTCCATGATCACATCGGAGGGTCAACAACCATTATACCATTTTGACATCAGAGGATCAACGACCATTATGCCATTATCACATCAAAGGATCAACGACCATTATACCATGATCACATCTGGGGGTCAACAACCATTATACCATGATAACATCAGAAGGTCAACGGCCATTATACCATGATCACATCAGAGGATCAACGACCATTATTCCTTGATCACATCAGAAGGTCAACAACCATTATTTCTTGGTCACATCAGAAGGCCAACAACCATTATCCCATGATCACATCAGAGAGTCAACGGCCGGCCGTTATACCATGATCACATCAGAGGGTCAACGGCCATTATACAATGATCACATCAGAGGGTCAACGGCCATTATACCATGATCACATCAGAAGGTCAACAACCATTATTCTTATTCACATCAGAGGGTAAACGGCCACTATACTTTGATCACATCAGAGGGTCAACAACCATTATTTCTTGATCACATCAGAGGGTCAACGGCCATTATACCATGATCACATCAGAGGACCATCAACCATTATTTCTTGATCACATCAGAGTGTCAATGGCCATTATACCATGATCACATCAGAGGATCATCAACCATTATTTCTTGATCACATCAAAGGGTCAACGGCCATTATACCATGATCAGATCAGAAGGTCAACAACCATTATACCATGATCACATCAGAAGGTCAACAAACATTATTTAATGATCACATCAGAGGGTAAACGGCCATTATTTCTTGATTACATCAGAGAGTCAACGCCCGTTATACCATGAACACATCAGAGGGTCAACAACCATTATACCATGATCACATCAGAAGGTCAACAACCATTATTTCATGATCACATCAGAGGGTCAACGACCATTATTTCTTGATCACATCAGAGGGTAAACGGCCATTATTTCATGATCACATCAGAGGATCATCAACCATTATTTCTTGATCACATAAGAGTGTCAACGGTTATTATACCATGATCACATCAGAAGGTCAACAACCATTATACCATGATCACATCAGAAGGTCAACAAACATTATTTCTTGATCACATCAGAGGGTCAACGGCCATTATACCATGATCACATCAGAAGGTCAACAACCATTATACCATGATCACATCAGAAGGTCAACAACCATTATACCATGATCACATCAGA